TTCCTCTTTTTCATACGTTAAATTATATGCATGTGTTAATGTCCTTTTTTGTCTTTTTATTTATTAACCGCTAAAAGCAAACAGTTAAGTTACCAAACATATTTTTGTAATCCGCCAAACTAATCCGCCGGACAAACCCGCTGACTCAATCCGCTATTAAGAACCCGCTGATTGAATCTGCTAATGGCCAACCGCTAACCGCTGATAGCCAAACAAGGCCATAAGACTAAACATGCTACCAGTTCTCGAGAATCCCAAAAACCGAATTAGTATAAATTAAAAAATTATTAAAAAAGTTGGAGTTCAAGAGGTAGTTAAAAAGACTTTTGAATAACGTATAGAAATCATAAACTGAGTTTGGGCCTTGGGGGGAGATGTGTGTGCTACTGTATATGGTGTATACTTTAATTTTCATACGGAGAGTAGGACGTGTTTGGCCTTGAGGACAGCGAGTTATGTTAGCGGGATGTCAATAGCGAATTCAGTCAGCTTATTTGACTAGCAGAATATGTTGGCTAGTTAACAGAAAATGTTAGGTGATTAAGCTGTTTGTCCATAAAAATTAGTAGAAAATGTCATATTTCAAAGCACTATCCCAGAACTCTCATATTTGCATCATTTCTATTTCAGCCGTTTCGTCCAAAAATGCAAGGCCCAACAGCAATTTTGCAAACAACGTTTTCATTTATTGAAAACGCTAAAGTGATCAAATCGTCATTTTCCAAACACCCTCATCACTAGACTAATTTCAAAAGCTTTTTTTTTTTATTCAAAAGGGGTTTCTATTCTAACAAAAGGAGTCAGTTTTTCAACAAAATTTTTTGGTGTACATGTTCTTATACACACCAGTACACCTCCGTGTCTGTGAGAGTTTTTTTTGTCTGTGAATCCCAATCGACAGACAAAAACTGATTTGTTTTGTCTGTAGAATTTTTCACAGACAAAAACTTGCTTGTTTTGTCTGTGGAAAATTCTACAGACAAAACAAGCCAGTTTTTGTCTGTCGATTGGAATTCAAAGACAAAAAAAACTCTCACAGACACGGAGGTGTACTGATGTGTATAAGAACGTGTACAAAAGAATTTTTCCTATTTCATTCGGTAGCATATTGCATAATTTGAATGTTATAAATTGAATAGTGAGACAAAAAATTGAACTTTTGTTCCGAGTCCAAGCGTCGTCTGGTAGTTTAGTAACAAAATTTGACTCTTATTCATCAGGTGTCAATACCACCAGACTAAGACAATTTTTAGCATGTCGCATTCCATTTGAATCAATATCAATACCACTTCTAAGTTTGATCTGCGCACTACCAAGCCACTTGATATTTGTGTCAAATTGTAGGGTTTTACAAAATCTTATAATACAAGTAAAATAGATTGAATGGAGAATTACAATTTGCAATTTACCAAGATATAAGAAGTTGTTATTTTGATATATTTTTTTACGAAAATCAGAATAAAAAAGTTATAACACTTAAAAAATGTCCCACGTGGATTCCGCACCTGACACTCGGCATTCAGCCTTCTTTTTTCCTTTCCTTTTTTTTGATAATCCAGGTGTCGGAGCTTACGCTCCCATAATTCTGGAGTCTATGAACTACCCTCTAAACTTGATCATATGCACTCAGAATTGGCTTCGAGGCTCTCTTCCAGCCGAAAACATAGACCTAGAGAAGATGGAGGCATATGATATTGCAGATTTAGGTATTTATATCTGACATTCTGAAATTAAATTTAACTTTTTATTTAATGTTTTAAAGTATTTGATATCTAAATTGTGTTTTTTTTCTTTTCAGGTGGATCTTCTTTGGTTGGCAATGTTGAAGCATTTTCTGGAGATGCTGGGGCTAGGGGTTGATTGATCAACATCATTGTTTTTTGGTGCTGCACACATGGATGCATTGTTTTCATTTTTCTTTTTTGCTTATTGATACTGGTTATCTCAATTATGGAGATGTTTTTGTGGCTTTTATGCTTTTGCACTTATCTCCAGTAGTGCTTATTTTTTGCTTACTGATTCCTGTTACAAACATCTATGAAGTATGAACTTCTTCTTTGGCTATTAATTTAGTCAAATGTTTTGGAGGTTTATTTTTGTTTATCCATCTATGTATTCAGAATGCTTTTGTTTTTACTCAATCTCAAACCCGAAATGATTTTATTTTTGTTTACCCGACCTTACCCGACCCGTTCATGTATGAGTTGTCAACTAATTTTACACATTGCGGGTTGGTTGATAGCCAACCCGAATAAATTGGGTAGGCCCAAAAATTATAGCAAACCCGACCCAACTCGGCCGATGTGCAGCCCTACTTGGAGGTGGATGCTCATCCATTTGACTACACCTACCTTCCCTCTTTTTTCCTTTCCTTCATCCGATCGGAATAAGCTTATTTTCTTCTGACCAATTTTAGCTTCTAATATCTCACTCAAGAGGCAGCCTAGAGCTCCGTTTTGAATGTGTAGAATCTTTAGATTTGGTTCACTTTTTTGAGGATCCGGCGTCTCTGCCTGGATTAAGCAGACTAGGAGGGTGCCTGCTCATTTTAAGCCCTCACATCAAAAAATTGATGATTGGAGATGAAGGGTCCTTTTTTTTTACACAAATGTAGAGATGTGAGTTTTAATCTCTGCCATTCATTTGAGCAAGGCACTCTGCCTTCAGGCAGAGGATCTCAATCCCTTTTTTTGACTTATTTCGATAACAAGTTAAATAAAATTACATTAAATTAGTAAACATAACAAAATAGAACTTGGATAAATCAAAGCATACCAAGTTTGATTCTTATAGCAACAAAGTATACATAACATCAAAGACTATTAAAGCATTTCAGACCAAATTAAATTAAATAATAATAATGGATCAGCAATTCTAGTCCATAATCCATATGTGCTATTTCCGTATCTTTTATGCTTCCACAGTTCCATATGATTAATATTTCCAAATGGACCTCTCGAGTTTTGGAGGGTTCTGAGTTTCTATATAAATACATATTTATAATTAAAATAAAAATTTATTGTAAAAGTGAGACCTCATGACATATCTATATATAGAAGTAAATTTAATCATAGTTACATATTTTCAAATTTTATACTTAAATGACCATGACAAGAAATTAATCATAGTAACTTTAGTCAAACTTTTATAAATAAATTATATTTCAATATTATTTTTGAAAAGAACTCTATTTTTACCCAAATTATATTAAGTAAAATTACAATATCTGATAATTGATTTTAAATAAATTAAACATAAATAATACAGATAGCCACCTATCAATCAAACATAATATGAAAATAATTAACAATCTCATATCGATCCCAGCTATTTGAATAGTCACTCTTACTATATGTGAATATATTTGATTATTAATTGATATAACACATATCCAGAAAATTTTGTGAATAGATGTGAACTTACATTAAAATTTAGTAGCATATTTTACAAATAACAAATCACATTATCAATGTTGTTTGATTAGATTTAGTTTAAGATATGTATGTACAAGTATGTATAAAAAGAAGATAAATTTATATTACATGTGTGTAAAGATGCTATTTTAGAAAAAAAATTGAGAAATTTACTCAAATAGAAGTTAAACATAACAAACACTACAAAAAAATTCGCCTGTAGTCACGGACTTAGTCACGGACCGTAGTGTAAAAAGTCCGTGACTAACACTTTTAGTCACGGACTTCGTCCGTGACTAGTTCAGTGACTAGTTCCGCGTGACTAGAATGTAGTCACGGACTTTGGCCGTGACTAGGTGTAGTCACGGATTAGTCACGGACGTCGATCCGTGACTACATCTTGACCGGAATAAGCCCTCCGGCACGTTAGTCACGGACAAGATCCGTGACTACTTTTAATTTAAATTTTTTTGAGTTAGTCACGGACACGATCCGTGACTACGTTTAATTTAAATTTTTTTATTTTTAAAGTAGTCACGGACGTATCCGTGACTATGTTAAATTTAAAAAAAATTGAATTTATTCCGGATAAAATGTAGTCACGGATCTGGTCCGTGACTAATGTTTTTGTTTTTTTAAAAAAAGTCGATTTTAAATAAAAAAATAAAAAAATGAAAATTGAATTTATTCCGGATTAAAAAGTAGTCACGGATTTAGTCCGTGACTAATGTTTTTGATTTAAAAAAAACAATTTTTTATAAAAAAATAAAAAATTATTTTAATTTTATTTTAAAGCAATTAGAATAAAAATAAATTCCATACAATATTAAACATAAAAAATGTTATTACAGACAGAATTATAAAAACAAAATCCATACAATGTCAAACAATATTATGTAATTACATGCCCGTACGTCGGACTCCAATGTGATAAAAATTACAATCATCATAATCATATTCATCATCATTATCATCATAGTCACGATGATGATCCTCTTCTGCATCCACGGTGTCCAAGGGTCGGGAACTTCCTCGACTGCCTCGGTTGCCTCCTCGATTGCCTCCTCGGTTGCTTCCTCGGTGGCTTCCTCGGCTGCCTCCTCGGTTGCCTCCACCCGATGACTGAAACTGATTGAGCATATCAGACGACAGAGATCCGAATGTCGACCCTATTGCAGGCATGGCACCATAACCGAAGTTAGAGTGGTAACCCATACTACCCATGTGCGGAACCTGAGGAGTCTGCTCAACGTGCATAATGTACGGCCGAGGATGAGGCTGAGGCGGAGGCTGATATCCAGCAAGGATCCGTTCCATTGCTTCCAGCCGGGCCCTCGTTTCTTCATCATTCTTCCATTGCTGTTCAAATGCACGCTGCTGCTCCTCCAATTCTCGCTGCAATTGGGCAATGCGTGGATCCTCTCCTCGCCTAGATCGAGAAGATGATGAAGCTCCGCTGTCGCTGCGATCGTACAAAATACGTTGCCCCTCAGCCCCGAGGCATGGAAGCCGACCCTTGTACACCCCTGTTGCCTCAAGGATGGCATCATTTTCCACATCATAATCGATGTCATCTTCTTGAGTCAAGCCTAGTTCCGCTCGCTTCTTTTCAACATTTGCGTTATACTTTGTCTACAAACATTTAAAAAAATTATTCAAATGATATTTACTTCAATTTGAAATAATAGTATTGATGTTACATACTTCGATTTCAGCAAGGCGGGGTGGTAGATTGGCTGGCGACTCAACACCGTTCTTCGTCCAACAATGTTTGATTACACTGAGGATAGGGACCCTCTTCTTTTGAGGCCCCGCCTACAAGGTTAGAAAAAGGTTTAAATAAATGTAAAAAAATAAAAGGTTAAAATGGTGTAGGTTTATTTGAATAAGACTTACAAGAGCTTCTTTATGTTTACTCTGGGGTTTGCGGCCTCCGTGCCATTGTGTCGTCAATGCCTTCTCGGACATCCGATTTTTCTTCCCGGCTTCGCTTCTAGCCAAGAAAGTCGGATCCGAAGACCAGTGGCGGACGAGGTTTTCCCATACCTCATCCGAACACCATTGAGGCCTTACCCCACTGGCACGGGCACGCTTAAAAGTGGGACGAAGCCAGTTTGAAACTCTGGCATTGTACGCCCTTAGAATAGCGGAGCCTTGTTCTTTAGTCCAGCGAAACAGGGTCTTTATTAAAAAAAAAAATTAACTTATCATTTGTCAAATTTTAGGTTACATCAATGACGAAAAATTGATTTTTTTACCTTGAACAAGTTCCACCAAAGTTCACGGACCTTAGGGTCAACATCCGTGTACGTAGCCCAGTTGCCAAGAAAGTGTCCACCAATTATGATTTTGATTTGGTTGAGCACATCTTGATCGCTTCAAAAAATTAATATTTTTTTATAGTTAGATGATTTGACATTAGATAAAATTATTTGACATTAGATAAAGTTCATAGTTACTTACTTAGCAACCATGTGAGGTGTCACCCATTCCGAATCTTCATTGTTGCGCTCGGCTTGGGTTAAGGGCGCATAGTTCGGGCGAGCACGGGATGTGATTGTTCATTGCTCATCTAAAATAATTGATTGATGAGGAGTATTAATTTACATTTTCAAATAATTGTGTAAATATAATAGAAGATCAAATTTTGATTGAAATCTTAAATAGGTTTTCATATTTAAATTTATAAAAAAAAATTAATAAAGGCAGTTTTTAAAAAGCAGTTTTTATTAAACAGTTTTTTATAAAACAGTTTTTTATAAAACAGTTTTTTATAAAACAGTTTTTTATAAAACAGTTTTTTATAAAACAGTTTTTTATAACGTGCAGAAGAATGTTCGGAGTATATGGATCCGATCAACGAAGAAGCTGAAAGGAAAATTAACGAGTTGTTGGCTAGGCCTCTTGAAAGTTTTGATATTGATGAATAATTTTGTATTTGTTTGTTTGGTTATTATGATAAATGATTAATGTTTCGTTAGTTGAATGTGATAAAAAATTTATGCGTTTCGTACTTATCTTTTACGGAGTAATAATGATGAAGAAAAAAATCAAATATTGTTGGACTACAATAATAATGAAGAAAAGAGTACAAATATTCGAACTCAAAAAAATTGTAATACAACAATACAATTAGTCACTATCAGAGTCATTATTTTCTACATATACAACATCTTCTTCTGTATCAGAACCGTCTATCCATTCTCCTTCTTCCTGATAATGAGCATTTTGTTGTTCTTCATGCATTTCAACAATTTCGCGCTCAGATGGAATTGTTAGGTCCGGAAGGTGCGTTTCTGGCATGACTTCAACACTTCTCCCATTTGGATCACTTAGCTGAATGTGCTGGTTGACCGTCTCAACAATCGGTGGAGGTTGGAAAAAATGTTGCTGAAAAGCATCTAAATCAACGTCCTTGTGTTGAGTTTGTGATACAATTTTGCTCGGACGGACAGTACATGCACAAACCCAAGGATTCTGTGTCCGCCTGGTTGAAGGGTATTCTGTATAATAAATCTGGGCTGCTTGTTGAACAAGTATAAAAGGCTCATTTTTCGTATACACGCGAGAGTGGTTGACGTCAATCATATTATACTTTGAATTTTTTCGCACACCACGTGTTGGATCAATCCATTTGCAGCGGAACAAAACGCATGTCAACTTTTTCCCAGCAGAAGGCATTTCCAGTTCGAGAATCTCGTGCAAGACACCAAAAAAATTGGTTTCCGAGTTATCATAACCGATTGTTGGGACACATAACCCGCTGTTCACTGTTGGTCGGCCCTGTCCGTAAGCGACTGTGTGATAGGTGTAACCGTTTATCACATATGACCGCCAAACTTTGGCGTAGGCACCAGGGCCCCACGATAATGATACTAACAAAGGGTCCACAATCCCACGGTTATTGATCTGTAAATTAAAACACGATAACATTGGGTAATTATTAAATATTATTAATTAATAATATATATAATTAATGTGTGTATGTATATATACCTGATGCTTGTACCACGGTATAAAATGAGAGTCCACCAATGCATCAATTTCATTGTCAGGGAATGCTGAGTACTCCGCTCTAAATTCACTGTGAAGTCAAACATGAAAATATTATAAATCAACTACCTTAATTGTATATATATTACAAAGATAACTACAAATTTAACTTAATGATAAAACGGTAAGATTTCTGGACAATTAATGAGCATATAAGTATGCGCAATTTGTAATTCTTTTCCCACGATGTATCGGTTTGTCCAAGCTCCTTTACCTCTACCTGTGTAATTGAAAATGGAAACTACATTTTCATATAAATCCTCGCCAATGTTATCGTTTCGGGCAGGTCTCTTTCTTCTAGTGATGACTTCACGCTCAAAATAAAAAGATGAGAACGTTGAGATTTCTTGTTGAAGATATGCTTGACAAATTGAAGCCTCAACGTGTGCCTTGTTGGTCGCTTTCTTTTTCAACTCTCCAAGAAATCTGCAAAGTAAAATAAAAGTGGTACACAGATTAATGTTGTTATGAAATAAATATTCAAAGATAAATGAAATTGTGACTAACCTTTCAAATTTGTACATCCAGCGATAGAAGACGGGTCCACCATTTAAAGCCTCATACGGAAGATGTATTACAAGATGTTTCATTCCATCGAAAAACGACGGAGGCATTATCTTTTCCAAATTACACATCAGCATGGGATCAGACTCTTCTAGTCTACGGAAGGATGCTGCATCCAAAACGCTTGAGCATATCGACTGAAACAACAAACTGATCTCAGTAATGCAGGACCATACGTGTTCAGGAAGCATCTCTTTCAGTGCAATTGGGAGAAGTCTTTGCATGATTACATGACAATCGTGAGTTTTCATGCTCGACGTCGTTGCAAGTTTGTCCATGTCCACGCATCTGGACAAGTTGGAGCAGTAGCCATCTGGAAACTTCAGAGACACAAGCCATTGTAATATTGATTCTTTTTGTGCTTGTGTGACTTGGTAGACTGCTTTTGGAATATTGTTGCCCTGATATTCTAGATCAACGGATAGTTCGGACCTATCCCACCCAACTTCGTCTGGGTGTTTAAATTTGAGATTTTTACACTTTGAACATGGACATCTGATTTTATCACCACTCATATAAGCCGGGTGTTCAAGTGCGAATATAATAAACTCCTCAACTCCTTCAAGAAAATTTGATTGCATTCCGTACAATACCGCATGTTTATCATACATCCAAATTCTATTTTGTCTATACATTATGCCTGAATATTATAATAAAAAAATTATACAGGTTAAAAACTCTAAATTATAAACATTACCAACATATTATATGTGGAGTATTCTTAATATATTAAAATTAAATAATTCCCTAAAATTCCCTTAAAATTAACTAATTCCCTTAAAATTAACTAATTTCCTTAAATTTCACTAAATTTCACTAAAATTCCCTTAAAATTAACTAATTCCCTAAAATTCCCTTAAAATTAACTAATTCCCGTAAAATTAACTAGTTTACTTAAATTTCACTAAAATTCACTAAAATTTCCTTAAAATTAACTAATTCCCTAAAATTCCCTAAAAATTAACTAATTCCCTTAAAATTAACTAGTTTCCTTAAATTTCACTAAAATTCACTAAAATTCCCTTAAAATTAACTAATTCCCTAAAATTCCCTTAAAATTAACTAATTCCCGTAAAATTAACTAGTTTACTTAAATTTCACTAAAATTCACTAAAATTTCCTTAAAATTAACTAATTCTCTAAAATTCCCTTAAAATTAACTAATTCCCTTAAAATTAACTAGTTTCCTTAAATTTCACTAAAATTGACTGAAATTCCCTTAAAATTAACTAATTCTCTAAAATTAACTAATCCCTTTAAATTTCACTAAATTACACTAAAATTTCCTTAAAATTAACTAATTCCCTAAAATTCCCTTAAAATTAACTAATTCCCTTAAAATTAACTAATTTCCATAAATTTCACTAAATTTCACTAAACTTCCCTTAAAATTAACTAATTCCCTTAAAATTAACTAGTTTCCTTAAATTTCACTAAATTTCACTAAAATTCCCTTAAAATTAACTAATTCCCTAAAATTAACTAATTCCCTTAAATTTCACTAAATTTCACTAAAATTTCCTTAAAATTAACTAATTCCCTAAAATTCCCTTAAAATTAACTAATTCCCTTAAAATTAACTAATTCCCTTAAAATTAACTAATTGCCTAAAATTTAACTAAAATTCACTAAAATTCACTAAAATTCCATTAAAACTAACTAACGTCCAATAATTAATATTATTAAACTATAAACATGCACAATACGTTAATGACATTAATTTAATCCACAATACTAAAATTATCAACATCTTAATCTTATTAATAATGCACATTTAACAATTTACTAAATTAAATAATATGAGCAAATCCAATAATTTGAGCATATATATATATATAATAAACACATTTAAATTAAATTAACTAACCCTAATTTAAATCATTATTAATCCTAAATTAGGCCGCCGTAATTAACAATAATTGCCAATATAAAGAAATCATATACTTATATTTAATCATATATATATATATATATATATATATATATATATATATAAAGTCATTTGAATTAAATAATACTTACATTTAACTAATATTAATAATATGCATTTAAATTATATTTAATCATATATACTTACATACGTATTTAACTAATTTACGAAATTTTAACCCTATATTTTAAAATTAATAACATATGTATTGCCAATATTATATTTAATAATATACTTACATATGTATTTATTAACAAATTTACATATTTAACTAATTTACAAAAAATACGTAATTCAAATTACATACCTTATCTGCATAAACAGGAAAAATGATATGAGATGGGTAGATTACATCCTTCAATTGTATCTGGAATTCTATCTGGAGTAGATGGTGTGATTTTGTTGAATGAATCGGAGGCTGCATATATAAAATTTGTAGTCACGGACTTAGTCACGGATGTGTCCGTGACTACAATTTTTTGTACGAATTGTCGGTGCACTTTAAATTTGGAACGTTGAAAAAATCAA